AAATCTGATTCCTCCATAATTTTGGATACCAACGATCCCACCAAATATCCCGATATCGTTCCATCTCGATGAAATTCCTGAGAGATAAGAAGCCCCAATCACAATAACCCTCAATCCCTGAGATCGGAGAGCAACCATTACCAGATCGGAAGTATCGCTATCACCATCGCTAAACTCGATTTGACCTTTTCTCAGATTAGCATCTAAACGTATTAGACGTCACTGAGTATGTGATTGATTATCTACTATTAGAGAAACAAAACTTGTCCCCCTATCATATATGTATGTCACGCAATATACTCCTTGACTGATAGTTACGGCTAATATTTTATCGGATGCCCCGAAGGGACATAGTTACTGCTAATAAATGTCTGATGATTGATAAGTGCTGTGGTTTTTATTTTTTGACTTTAGAATAGTAGCTATAGATTTTATTGTTGTAGCTGTAAATTTTATTATTATAGATTTATTTTAATAATTTTTAAAGCACTAAATATAAATTTCTAGAAAAACTGATTTGTAAAATTATTTTATTTTCTATTTTAATTTCAGAGCTGTAGTTTTAAATTAATTTTTTTAAACATAATTGATAAAATAAAGTATCTGTAGAAAGAAAATGGATTGTAGAAAGCAGTCACCGCACTTACCAATAATCATTTAAATGGTGATTTTTGTATAACTAAATACATGCTTTGGAAATAATAAAATTATTCAATTGACAAACAACTACATACCTAGTACCTTTAATCATCAATATCATATCATATTAAAAAGAAGTTTAAAAGTGATCACATCACTATAAATGAAATCGTCATTTGAAATCTTTCGCGCATATTTCGTATATGAAAAAATTGCTAATTCAATTCTATGTGTGAATCATGCAAGGTTACCAAAAACTGATATCATTTCAGGTTATATATACATGTTTATTATGGCTTATAATGGTTTTATACTTTTATCTAATCTATTATTACATCTTTAGCGTATTCAAATATAATAGTATTTTTTTATATAATGACCCTTTGGACTTTCCAGGAGCTATATGTAGAGGGAAGGTTGGAGACACATGGCAAATAATTGAATAGTAGTTTTTGCCATTTCTGGCACAGCTAATATTCTCTAAACAATGTGTGTTTTACCATTTATAGAAGTCTTTCAAGTTAAATACTCTTTTATTCATTTGAATACTTTAGGGTTGTTATTGGTTTAATTATTATTTCAAACAAGAATAAGTCAGAAATCTGCTTAAGCATAAATTAAAAATCAAACTAAGTTTTTAGGGAACCAAAGGGACAAACGTCCTGCGAAATGGATGAAGCAGCCAAAATCATTTGGAATCAATTCCCTGACAATTTGTTTTATTTCTTCATGTTAAACTATTATGAGATTTTTTTTTTCATGGAAATTGTGATTCCAGTATGACTGGAAAATATATATGCACCCGTAAGTGCTATTTTATTCATATGAATATACAATTATGTTAGGATCCAATTTAATGTGTACGTACATGAAATCACCGCTCAACATCTACGTTTTAAATATTTTTTTCCTAGTACGCCGTCGTGTTACGCTTCTACAATTGCTACATCAACTTCCTCTATCATTTATATTGTACAGGGTTTTTTTTTTTTTTTTTGGAACTTTATATTGTACAGGGTTGTCTACCGATTTACAATCAAATCTATGAGAGCGTGTAGGGAGTTTCAATACTTTGGGTTCGTAAATGTCGGCGAGTTAAAAATAATAATTCATTATCACTACAAGAAAATAGGATTCAGCTCCCAAATTTTTATTTGTTAAGATATCATCACCAACAGCAACGAAATTACATATGTCCAGGTTGTCTCTAGCTACTACGTAATGAATTACCAATTTGTTTAATAAAATGATACCACTCTTTATATTTTGGTGGTTGTAATTTTAGTCTTTTCGACATTTTATAAGTCGAGTTCAATTAAGTATATAGATACGTGTGGGTGTGAGACATAAATCCTTCTTTTTAAAAAACAACTTTAAGGAACACACCGACGACCGACCGAACCTTTGGATTTTGCTTAAGAATATCCGTGACATTTGGCATTTAGAAATCCTTATACGATTCCGTTGAACACCGTATGGGTTTCTTTTTCTTTTCTTGCTGGGTAACTCTACTTGCCCAAGTTGCAACGAAAACAGTCAAAAATGAAAAGAAAAAGAAGCCTAGCATGCATAAGAATAACGTGTCTGGAAAGACTAAATTTTTCGATCTTCCTTTTTCACATACAAAAAGAAATTGTAATCATGCACCAACCCCTAACATTTATACCCAAAAAGAATTAATATAACGAAGTAACAAAATAAGAAGGTTTTCCCCTAACATTTGGGAAGATCGGCGGGTGGAGGAAGCAGTGACTGGTCAGGACCGTGACCGTTGTCCACGACGAATGCCATCTTTAGTCCCCAAGTTGTATGGATTTCCAAGTGACAATGCATGAACCACACCCCTTATTAAAAAAAAAAAAAATCAATTAGCACAAACTATATATATCAAGTTGGACCGACTATTCCATAAATAATGCGATACAACGTTACAAATAATAAAAAAACAATTCGTGATTGATAAAGACTAACTGTTTGACAAAAGTAATGCGTAACAAGACCAACAACTTATATACAAAAAAAAAGAAGAAGAAGAAACCAATGTTAGAAATTAGCTACACTTACACCTCATGCATGCATTATTTTAATTAATCATGGGGTACCTGGATTGTCAGCGATGAATCTGATGGCTGTCCAACCACCAGCTGGAACACCAACCGTGTTTCTCTCAACCGGATCCACCAAGTTAAACCTCTTCGGATCCTTTTCCGGGTTAAAATTCCCTAAACCTCTACCAACCTCGAAGAAGTTGAACCCGTGAAGATGAAAAGGATGGTTCTCCGACAAGATCATAGCCGTATTTTGTAGAACAATTTGCACCGTCGCGTTGTACGGAAGCCGGTAAAGCTTTGTACCTTTCATCGTCGCCGCATTAACGCTTTGGTTTACCGGTGCGGTATAGTTAAATGGATCAGACGGTTTGGCTGGAAAGTCGTCGGTAAACACGTGGGAAATATTGAAGAAATGAGCCTGTAGAAGAGCGGTTTTAGGCATGGTGAACGTTACGTTGTTTATTCCAGCCACTAGTCTAATACCATTGTTGCAGCTCTCGCAAGGGTTCGCGCCGAGAGCCACCGTGAAGAACAAGGAGTGATCAACTGTAGTTGGAACTTTAGCTGGATACTCCCGAGAGTTCAAGCTCCTGAGAGACCTAATGAATTTGGTCGCAACCAACGTTGCGTTTGGGGGTGGAAGCGAAGCGAGAACTGTTTTCTTGGAGGAGGAAACGGTGTGGCCAATGTAGTGGAGAGTGGCGGTGGCAGTGACGTTGTCGAAAGAGATGGGGGCATCCATAAAAGTTGTGGCGGCGACCATGTATTTGGAACCAGCGTTTGCGTTTGCTGTTAAGAGAACGTTAGTAGTTTGTCCCGGAGCGATGAGGACGGTGTCGGTGCTAAACGGTTTGGTATAAGCAGCATCAACTTCCACAACGGTTAACTTGTGACCAGCGATTTTAAAGAAGAGCTCTTCGTTTAGCGCGGCGTTGATGATACGTAACATGTATGTCTTTCCTTGTCTCACCGGCAAACCATACCCACCTACAAGTAAAAACAAATCTATAGTACTATAACAATTGGGAAGGCAAGTAAAATCAAAGTGGCTAACTAGCTAGTTTAGGTAATTAATTAAATTGCTAATTATTTACTTTGGGAAGGACAATTAGAGATGGGGCCGGAGTGGCCGTTGATTGTATGTGCATCAGAGGCGTCAGGAGCTGTTCCAATTTTTGTAGCCTCGTTTATAAGTTGTTCCACGTCCGATTTCCACCATTCACCTATATATGTTATAAAATAGTTATAACTGTGGTGATGAAAATCATTAATTGATATATAGTTCAACTAAAATTGTGTTTTGGTTTGGGTAGCTCACCAAGAACAATGGTTTTCTCTTTGTAGGGCTTGGGGAAAGGGTATGGCACACCAAGCTTAGGCAAGATGACAATGGCCCCATGCACCGTGGCACGAAGCCACAATATGTGAGCATGCCACCATAAGGTTCCTCGTTGACCCGTCAATGTGAAATTATAAAGATAATTTTGCCCTGGTTGGATCGGACACTGTGTAATGTAAGCCGGTCCATCTGCCCAACCTGTCCTCAATTGTCTTATCCCATGCCTATACATGTAGAAACATTACCTTAGTCATTATTAATATCATATCGTTATTGTAGGTGGGTCTAATTGATACCACTGTTAATGGGGGTTAATTTGAATAATGTGACATAAATTTAAGGGTCGTGTTTCACTAATAACTAAAAAGGTTTGTTTGAGGTTACTCACCAATGGATGGAGACGTTGTATTTGACATGATTCACTACTTTGATCAAAACGGTGTCATCTTCTCGTGCAACAATGGTAGGCCCCGGAAATTGGCCGTTAACTGTGACAATAGGCTTCGACGAGCACAGCTTCGTAGTGTTCGTCATCACCACCTGGCCGTGTGTACATTTAAATTCCATCAGTCATCAGTGGTGTAAGTACGTAGCGCATGACCGTATTCATGCAAACTAACCACATATAATTGTAGGTATATATATATATATTGATCCTTCGATTAAACTACCCAATTGCGCACGTAGAGACATAGTTTGGCGTTTTTTACGAATAACGTATCATTTTGTGCATGAGTCATGACAGAGAGACTTACATTGAATTTGTAATGTCGGGTTATGGAGTGAACGGTGGTTGGCGAGAGAAGAAAGATAACAAACAGAGTTAGGATGCATACGCAAAACCGTCTTGGAATCTCCATAACCTAATTAGGTCTTTTTGTCTTGACGTTGTTATGGATTGAGTAATGTATGTGTGTGTATATATATGAAGGAAAGTATTAGCTGTGGTATGTAGAAACTGTTGTGGTGTCGTTTTTACTTGTTAGGTTGAAAAAATAGAAGAGTCGTGAAATGTAAGCTCTTTAAATGGAACACACTGGAAGAAGACATAAGAAGAGGAAAGATGCTTATTATTCGAGAGAGATAAAGTTTTTTTTTTTTTGAACACATCGAGAGAGATTAAATATAATTGAATGTACAATTGAAGATCAAGATATGAGATGTTTACAAGTCAAAAGGGCTTAGGTGATCTGGTGGCCCAACCGTATTTTAGGTCTAAGTATACCTCATCATCTAACTAATCTCACCCACATTTGTTTTTCTTTTCATTTCGCGTCTGATTAATCAACGTTATATAAGTTATGCTGAATCAAGCTGGTGTAATTAATCAAGTTTTTTTTCCTGTATGTAATTAATCAATTGTTTTTAAATAACAACTATGTATTACTCGTTTTTACGCTTCCTTAGTGTTAGTTTTTCAAACATTAAACTCGTAAGCTCAAACATCTCAATTTTCCAAAGGATATTGAACTAATGCCAATCAACATGTTTTTTGACTTATTAACAACCCATATTCCTTCACACTTATCTTGATTTAATTACTTGTAGTACCTTCTAAAACATAGTAACAAAATTAACAATTTACAATTAAAAAGTAATATTACCATTACTTAGAAAAAAATTGTTTTGATTATTAAAAAAAATATATTTGTTCCTAACTGTAGGAATTACTTTAGATATAATTTATAAAAATTATAAAATATTGTGTTTAAGTATTATAATTGTATATTTTTAGTTAAAGTTTATATAAAATAATATCTATATATATAGCCGGATAGAGAAAGTATATCAAATATATGGTCATTGACATTTGACCTGGAACTTCAATAATTCGTTAGAAAGGTGAGCTAAAAGATACTTTTTGGTTGTTATATAACAGCTCATCTAATCCAACTATATAATTCTCTCCAAAAAAGAAAGCAGAGTGAATTATCCACAAAATTAATCAAAATAAAATAGGAGGCTAGACAAAGAAACGGCAGCGTAGCTATCTCACTGCTACTAAACAAGCCCACAACATCCAAATCAAATTTCGTTCATGATTAAAAAAAATAAGGCCCAAAAGAAAGTTGATAAACGACAGCTTTAGTGACACATTCTGTGTAGTCCGAGGCTCTGAGCGAAGCTCGCTGATCATCTTACTGAAGCTTGGCCGTAGCTAGGACATACTTGACTTGTTTCCCTATCTAAGCTGCCTATGTCTTCTATCTGCTGGTTATATTGTTTCGTCTGTGACAGGAGTAGAGGCCTTGAAGTTGATGGATGCCAACAAGTACCTGAAGAAGGTTGGATTAGGGCGTGACGATATGTTCTTTTGGTAACAAGTGGGGGAAAGCATTGCTATGCCTACACAATCTTTGGCATGGCGTGGTTATACAATGAAACGTCTCCTTTAGGGTGGTATGATCTTGAATAAGCTGCAAACGGCTTGTGATAAATTAAGTGTGTTGGATGATCAAAGCCAGAATCTAAAAAAGATCAATCTTTCAACAAAATCACCATTGTATTGAACTCGTTTGATACACTTAGAAAGTAGATAGAACAACGATAAGCATAGGATCTGGCTTCATATATCTATAGAACAATGAGATAACAAGTAAACATACATGGTAATGGCTAATTACAACACAGTACTATCAAACATAATTATCCATCACAGTTCAGACTAATTCATCAGCCTACTTTTCCCAGAGTTGCTCATCACATGGCTCTTTAATGGCGTCAAGTAGAATCTAACCATACCGTTTCTGAGGTTATCCGGAGAGTAAGCACCACCACCAAGCTTGGCATGATTTTGTTTGTCTTCGCACAAGCTTCTTCTTCCAGTCTCAACACCACCACCAGTAATAGACCCATGAAACAAACCATCACAAGAGCTTCTCCCACCTTCCAACCCACTAACAACAGAACCACCATGAAACATGCCACCATCACAAGACTTCCTTGCACTAACACTGTAACTTCTCAAGAGCTTCTCACTAACATCACCACCGTTGCTTTCTCCTTTAGCCACTCTCCTAAGCTTCAAGAGAGACTCAGCAAGAGAACCCTCCATTGCATTCCCTCCAAGTTTCAAACTTTGCTCCGTTTTAACCTCTTTATCACTTTTCCTCTGAATCAACCCCCAAAGATTCCATCCTCTCCCCCATTTCTTCCCACTCTTCTTCAACCCAAAACCATCCTGCTTCACCTCACCACCACCACCAACACATCCTTTAGAAGCTAACTCAAAGCTCTCGGGTTTATAATTTTTAATGGAATACCAATTAGAATCCCTAAGTTCCCTCTCAGTAACAAGCAACTTAGCTCCATGAAACAAACCAACACTCTCAGGTGATAACTTAGCTTTCCCTTCATCAACAACATCCACCAATCCATGCCTCGATGATACTCGATCAAAGCTTCTTCTCCTCCGTGAATCCAAATAGTAATCCCTAGTCTGAGCTGTCCCGCCTGGCTTCTTCTCCTCCTCATCCTCCTCGTCATGGTTCTTCTCCGGCGATGCTTTAGCATCTTCAGTCACAGATGATAAAGGTATCAGCTTTGGATATGTTTTTCCGATCAAACACCCGTCCCACGAAGCTCGAGGCTCCTCGAAAGAGATCCGAGCAGCATCTACTGATAACCTGGGATCTACATCACAAGAGCGACGGCCAAGACTTGTTTTTGAGTAAACGTCGCCGTTTTGGGCGTTGTTCTTGGGATGTTTGAGTGAAAGTTTCTTAAGCGTTCTGCTGAAAACAGAAGAAAAGGAGGAGTCTTTGTCGTTGCTCTTCTTGATTTGGTGAGTTTTTGATTCAAGATCTATGAGCTCCTTCATAGTCTTCTGTTCTCCATCCTCCATTTCTTCTTCTTCTTCTTCAAGGAGTCTCATACTCGCTCTACCTTCTTCCTCCTCCTCATTCAAATCTGGAACCATAGGGATCCGAATCGAGCTCCCTAGCCACTCTTCTTCAGCGTCGGCGAATCGGTCGTGGAGAGAGCCGTCGTTGGAGTTAACATCACACGATCTGCGGCGTGGCTGGTATAAATCCGCGGCGGATGCGTCACGAACACGGGGGAGATCGGGGATTTGATCGGAGGAGAGAGATTCGATGGTGGAGAGGCGTTCGCGGAGACAGATGGCGCAGAAGCCGGGGGTGGGTTTTGAAGTTGGATGACGGTTGCAGACGGCGGAGTGACGACGGCGACGGCGTTGGGTTTGGTGGTGGGTCATGATGGCTTAGGGGTTGTGGGTTCAGTGAAAAGAGGAGAGTGGAGTTGAGTGGGTGGTGAGTGCCATTTTTTTAGGATCGAGAGAGAGAGAAGAGAGAGTGGCGTTGTCAACACTATTGACCTGGTCCTTAAACCCCTTTTTCTTCTTTTATATTAATCTTTTTTATGTGTTAGTTGCCTGTATTTATATTTTAGTTCGTACATTTATTTACTTCAAAAGTTCAACCAAATAAATTTGGTTGTTATGAATATAACTATTTTATCAAGATATCATTTTGTGAGCATTTTAAGTTTGTAGTGAAATTAGTAATTTATTTAGTCAATCTATAAATTAGCTGAATTCATCATTTATTTTGGTAATATATGTATATATATTTAATAAAATGATTTTAGAAAAAAATACTGAAAAGAGTAAATAAATTGATATGTTGCTGGTTTGTTGCATACATAGTATTCATGTTATTATTTAGAAACTAAAAATTGTGTAATGGTTTTTTTAGGTGTATATTTGTGTTGGTGTTTGGTGTAGACATCATTTCCACCACATTCACCTACTGGTTAAGTGGTTATGATAGTAAATGTGGTCAAAATGATGTCTACACCAGCACAATTATCAGATTTTTAAACGTACATAAAAAGGCTCAAAGATTGTAGACACATTCTGAGTGGAAGCGTAATATTAACGTGTACAATCTAAAATAGTGTTCAGAAATTTCTAAATTATTGAGAAGCTGGATCGTTCTAGGATTCTTGTTCCACGATCGGGTTTTATGGTTAGGTTGGTGAAGTAAATGTTATTGTTATGTTTAGCAAGAACTTAAGATAAAATGGAGAAAAGGAAAACTGTAAAATGTTGTCACGTGACTGTGCAGAGAGAAATAATCAAAGGAACATGTGTACAAACATATCCCATTATGGGTCTGACCTCTGCGTTTGTAGGACGAACATAAAAGGCCCTTAATTAGTGGTATTTATAAAATAATTTAATGGATAGACCTAAGAATAATTAAATGGTGAAAACACGTGTGCCACTACAGAGTTGTTTGATTCTTTTCAGTTTTCACCTTGGGGTTAAATTGTTGGCTGCTTCCATCATTTCTTTGGATTCCCTTCGAATCAATCAATTAATAAATTAGATCAATGTCAACTATTGTAATTCTTTTATTTGATTTATTAGGGTTTTAACTGGTGGTTGATTTTCAAGTAGAGAGCAAAAAGAGTTATAGTTTAGTGCAGCAAGATGTAACGTTTGAACAACATCATTTTTGCAAGCAACGACCTTAATTGCATTAATAAAGCGTGTTGATCAAATCTTTGATCGTCAATCGTCATCATTTGTGTAAAATTATATAAAACTATTGTGAATGCAGAGAAAATGAAATACTACTATATATGTGCAAAATTTAAAACATTTACAAAAAAATAAACTAGACTTCGTTTACCGTCAACAAGAAGTCGTAATACTATCATACTTTTATTTATGACTTTAACAAAAATAAAAGAAAGTAAATTTCTCTAACTTGTGTGGATAGCATTAGCAACGACCGACGAGTGACATAGAGATTCGGAGTTACGACAAGTTCCCAAAGCGTGTGTTTTGTTCTTTTGTTAAGCAATAAAACCATAGCAGCAGGTCCCAAAAAATACACCAGCCATTGTTTTTGTCTGAATGTGATTGTACTCATTTTTCTTTGCCCCTTTCTTTCCGATATATATTGGAGTTTTCCGACGACTTTTTCTACCAACGGACAACGATGGCTAGATGAAAGTGTAACATTTTACAATGCTCATAATCTAAACCTAAATAAAAAATTGATCAGCATGATTTTTCTGATATATAAAAAACTCTGAAACAAACATAAATGTATATATTCATCTGTGTAACAGAAGTTAAACTGGATAAGTCGTGAATCATGTGATAAACTTTTACTACTGTAAAAAGAAACTTTTAATACGATCAGAAAACAAAAATTGAAGCAGAAAAAAATGGAGCTGAACTTTTTTGAGGCCCAGGTCGTTATTTAGGCCCAGTATGATTAAAAGTAAGCCCATGTCTGGTTGTTTGTTCGTCGGCCGGAGCAAGACCGCCGGAGCCGGGCAAGAAACGGTAGTTTATATTCTTTCTTTCCTTCTATATCATTCTATTTTGAAATGACATATCACTGTCCTAATATTCATAGTTTTTTTTCTTATAATGTACCTTTTCTTTTCAACCTAGCGTTTGAGTTGAGAGTTGATTTCTTTCAATCATTTAGATGATTTGTGGCTAAGACATTTATCACCAAGTAATGATCATTCATCTCTAACTATATATGTGGACCTTTCTTGCCAGCTCGATCCACCATTTTGGACTTGTTGGTGGATCATGCATACAACTTGCATCCTTTAAATAGAACCCTCTCTTTTCCTGAGTAACTATCCGCTTTGTAAAGAGAAGATCTTAGTTTGTCTCCTCCTTTGATCATCTGTCACTGTCAGATAGATTTAAAAGAACCAGTAAACATGTCATGTTCATATATTATGAAAGAAAAAAAACTTTAGGTGCAACATGAAAGCTTCTTCTACGTCAAATTAACATGGAGGTATGTATTCCGCTACTCCTTTTACTTATTGAGTTCTAAGTGCTCTCTCGATGACTTGTCTATACGATTTGTAGCTTGTTTGATTAAGAGGAATGGTTTTAGGTTTGTGTGGCTTCTGACTCTCTTTTCTTATATTCCCTTCTCCTTAGACTAATTGGTTTTAACAGTAATTTGTCCTTTTCTAATCTCGAGTCTTCTTGGGTGGAAAAGTCAAAAGTATACAAAAAGAAAAAAAAACTCAGCAAACAATCACTGCGCATTTTCCATTGACTATGAAAATAGAATAACATCAAACTTGCAAGACCAATCAAGCTCTTTGAATCAGTCTACAACACATTAAACAACACTTATATTATCTGTTAACAGGATGATTATGCGTATATTATATGAAACACGCATATATTTCTAGATAACAAAAGAAAAAGAAACATGACTACCACAAACTTCTTATTTTTTTTCGAGAAATGCCACAAACTTTCTTTCTTGGCCTTATTGACATAAGAAATAATATTCACTTCATTCCTATAACCATGTCCTTAGAGATACACCAATGAGGAGCAGAACCCAAACGCCTCTCATCTCCCCAAATGAACAGCCTCAAAAAGCCGTTTGTGTGTATAAATGGAGTGATGCAGGTACCAGGGAGAAGGCAAAGAACGTCTCCACCCTCGGAGCTATCAAACGAGCAGCCAAGAAAGTAGCAGGAGTCTTTGCTTTTATCTTCTCAGGTCAGAAGAAGCTAAAGCCAAGAGACTGTCGATCTGATCCTGGAGAGTGCAGCAACCTCGACAGAGAATCTACATGTAAGCATATAGATCTTTGATCATCTTTAAAGCACTTTGTGATGTATGATGGATGAGATGTGTTTATGTATACTGTGCAGTGTCAGGGTGGTCTGGTTATTCTACACCAAGCTCTTATGGAGGGTCAAAAGTTTCAAGTCAATATAGATTTTCTGGTTCAAGATTCAAAAGTCCTGGAAGAGACTCATCTTCTAGCAAGAGTTGGCATCTTGGTCCAGTAATCTTTTCTTTTGCGGAGCTTCAGAGAGCAACTGCAAATTTTGCAACGGTTCATCAGATAGGAGAAGGTGGCTTTGGAACTGTATTCAAAGGAAAACTTGATGATGGAACCTTTGTTGCTATCAAACGTGCCAGAAAGGTATGAGTTGATTGAAATCTTGAAAACTTATTCAGAGAAAGAAAAGATTATTCTATAACTGGTTAAGTTCTGTGGCAGAACAACTATGGAAGAAGCTGGTTAAAAGAGTTCAAGAATGAGATATACACATTGTCAAAGATAGAGCATATGAATTTAGTAAAGCTATATGGATTCTTGGAACATGAGGATGAAAAGGTTATTGTTGTTGAATACGTTGGCAATGGAAACCTAAGAGAACATCTAGATGGTACTTTCTTTTTATAGCTTAGAGAAAGTTTCCAAATAGAGAATATCTGAAACTTAAGTAAGTCTCAACGCAGGCTTACGAGGTAACCGCCTAGAAATGGCAGAACGTCTTGAGATAGCAATTGATGTAGCTCATGCTTTGACCTATCTCCACACATATACAGGTACTCCTTGCCCTCTTCTCTGCTTTTTACATCGATCTTGAAGTAAGTATAACTTGAATGCCAAGAAACTATCATCTATATGCAGATACTCCAGTTATACATAGAGACATTAAAGCATCAAACATCCTCATCACGGATAAGCTAAGAGCCAAGGTAGCAGACTTTGGATTTGCTCGTTTGGTTTCTGAAGATCCAGGAGCTACTCATGTATCAACTCAAGTCAAAGGATCTGCAGGATATGTGGATCCAGATTACCTCAGGACGTTTCAACTATCAGACAAGAGTGATGTTTACTCTTTTGGTGTTTTGCTTATAGAGCTTGTCACTGGAAGACGTCCCATTGAGTTGAAGAGACCAAGAAAAGACAGACTCACCGTTAAATGGGTAAGTAACTTCTCTGTCTTGAGAGTCTAAAAGAGATATAACTTTTTCTTTTTTTTTGTGAAGGCATTGAGTAGACTCAAAGACGGTGAAGCTGTTCTTGTAATGGATCCGTTACTCAAGAGAAACCGAGCTGCAATAGAAGTGGCTGAGAAGATGTTGAGACTGGCTAGAGAGTGTGTTGGTCCGACGAGAGGGACACGTCCAACTATGAAAGTTTGTGTGGAGAAGCTTTGGGGTATAAGGAGAGATATGAAGGAGACAATTCTTGTTTCCTCGCCCTCTGTTTCTTCCTCTTCTTCAGCGACACATAGCTTTGTTGGTCGTGATTCAGACAGATATGCATTGCCAAAGATTGTAGACGATGAGAACAGTACTGAGTTACTCTCTCCTTGATGACACCAATTTGTAAAAATATCTTTGAAGACTGTAATTTCTTCTCTCTATTTCTTTGTCATCTGATTTATATATTGAATACATTCATGTATATAAGACTTGGAAGAGGACAGTCAAAACTTGATGACTTTTGACCAGGTTTGTCAATTTAACTCAAATTCGCACAATCCAAAACCGGTTAGAAGAGTGAGTGACAGTCACGGTCCGATCCAGTTCCCAAAACAACGGTGAGATGTTTCTGAACGGAGGTTGCTTATCAACCCAAAGCACTAAGAGAAATCTGATCTTATAAAATCATCAATGATGAGAATATAAAGGGAAGAGTCTGAGAGCATTCTGTACGCCTAGTAGCAACCGTATACTGTATCTCATAAACATCACATCACAAACCATTCCCCCAGTTTGATTGTCATTACACAAACAAATCCAGAGAAGATGACAGATCACATCACAACCCACAAAACAGGACAAGACAGAACAACATGACACAACACAACACAAAAACCTTTTGTATTTGATATTATATAAATTTTACAACTATTCACATCCCTCAAGCGAATTTAGGCTTAGGCAAGACCGCCGAGCCACCAATGCCACTGCTGGCTCCGTGAACCGGTCCAAGCTTCTGAATCCAATGTTTTAGACCTTTCCTTGGGTCCTTGCAGATCTTGTTTGAAGCCAGATTCAAGTTCCCTTCACGTTCCAGTGATGTCTCAAACTGTTCAAGCACTTTCACTATCTGCCAGAAGTCAGGTCTCTTATCCGGTGTAACCGACCAACAACGCTCTATCAGAGCTTTCATTGCTGCTGGACAATCTTCCGGTATAGCTGGCCTAATGTTCTGAACCAAATATCAACATTTTTCAAGTCACAAATGGCTAAAACAAGAATAAAGGACTTACATATATAAGTTGTTTGCTTTTTTTTTTTTAAAGTTCAATCCTAAGGCTCTAACAAGATTAACCATTAGACAAATCGTGTGCTGTGAGATTGTATAAAACACCGCAGAAGATTAGAGGCATGAGATAGTAAGGAGACAAGCATACTATTTTACCTTGTCCACAACTGCAAAAGCAGCTTGAATAGGAGTCATGTCCTCATACGGGGTTGCTCCAGCTACCAATTCCCATAAAAGAAGTCCAAAGCTGTATACATCGGCCTTTCTCCCATGAGGTTTCCGTTTTATCATTTCAGGTGCCATCCACCTATAGGTCCCTGGATCATCAGCTAACATGTCACAGAACTCCTCCTCGCACGCTATGCCAAAGTCAGCAATTTTCAACTGAAAGTCTTCGTCGATCAACACATTTTCTGGCTTAAGATCCCGATGAATAACATGCCGTGAATGAATATATTCCATTCCTCTTGCAATATCCAGACCAAACTCTATCAGCTTTTTCATAGAAAGAGACCTATTCTCAGGCTTGTGCAGATATGATCTTAAGGATCCTTCAGGTAAATACTCGGTGAGGACACAATATACAGGATGATCTTTATACGCTCCCACAAACTGTTTAAAATAAGAGAAGAAAATTTTAAGCACAAAGTACCATATAGAAAGATAAGAGAAGAGAGTGGAATCACCTTGATAACATTAGGATGGGACATTCGGGACAAAAGGGTGACTTCCTTAGTAAACTGTTTCTCCAAACGAGCACTCAAGCATCCATTCTCATCATCATCAGGGACAGTGATAAGCTTCACAGCAACAGCTTTATCCTCATACTTCCCATGGTAAAGTCTGCTATATAACCCATGAGCAAACTTAAGCCCAAGTAACAGCTTGGACATATCAACACGGTACTCTTCAGCAGCTTCCGAAGCGCTCACCTTACGACCACCATTGTTCAAAATCTTAGACCATCCAGTGTCTTTCTTCCCCTGTGTCTTCACCCTCTCTTGGATCCTCAGAGTGCTTAAATCCCTGATGGGAACCGTTGGAGACTGCAAGCTGACTGATCTTTTCTTGTCAAAGGTTTCTTTATGGGACAACTTGGGCTTCTCCGAGTCTATTCTTCTTGGATGCGGAGTAGAGAATCTCTTACGATCAGACTTGGCTTCCTTAAAGACTTCAGCAATAGGCGTCTGAGGAGAGGGGGAAACAGACCTCGGTTTGTTCGTCACAGGGTTTATCTGTATGTCTGAATCAACAACAGCTGCGGAATCCTGCCTAGTTTTCTGTGAGTTACTTGAAACCAACTTAGGTGATGATGATGACGATGGCGTTTTAAGGCCAGGGAGCTTCTTGTCTTGGTTAGAGTTAAAAGAGAGAGATGATAACTTGGAGGAATCAAGACGATGAGAAACAGTTTGAGAAAACTTAGTCCTCCTAATCCAAGAAGAAGCCTCTTCATCCATCTCCAATGACTTAATAGTAGCAAAAAAATGCTAAAAGACCTAAGAAAACCTTCTCAGACTACCAAAAAGTCTTATGATTCAAGCAAAACCTAATATTTTTCCTCTTTCAATTATTAATACAGAAACTTCTGAGAAAAAAAGATTCCTATAAAATACTATTGCTCCAAAATATCTCCACAAATCGCCGGAAATTACACCAATCATATACCTCTTCCTGCAATAAAAGAAAATCAAATCAGCAGGAGGAAATAATAACGAAGAAGATGGATCTGTTAACGAAATGTAACCTTGGAATCACGAAAACCGTGAAGCGGGGGATCAAGTACAATCGGAATCCGGCGACTTGAAGCCGGAGGAGGAGATCGATGGGAGAAGTAGAGAGAGAGAGAGAGCTTAAACCATACGACGCTAGGATTGTGAGAAGACGTTCTTTTGACGAATCAACACCTCCTTTTTTTAGATTGTTTTTTTATTTTTCTTTTTATTTTTAGCTCTCCTTCACAGGTAGAAGGTGGAGAGAAGAAAATTCTTTGGAATTTTTGAGGGAAATTACGTTAAAACGACAGCGTCTTTGTCTGTCTGTCAGCATCTTGATATGCTCTTTATTAATATTCTATCCGTAGCGAAGCTTACATTATTGATTTTTTATTTTATTAAATTAAAAGGCTTGGTTTTAGCCCAATATTGACGTTCTGGGCCCGCTTATAGCCCATACAGAGAACAGAGCTGGAAGCCTTCTGTTCCAATTGGTACGTTCCTTCTTTTTGGGAAAAACCAGAACCTCTGTTTTTGTTATTACGAAGCTGTGGAAAGCGCCATAGCATAGTCAAGTTTAAAAGTTTTTAAGATCTTGATTTGTTTCACAGTGAATAATATAAATTTTCTCAGATTATAAAATACAACTTTACTGAAAGTTTCAAAGTATTAGGCACAAAGCTTCATTGTGGTTGTGTGTTGCTAAGATATGATGTCGTACATGGTCCGTTGATCCGAATGATAAAGAGAGTTTTGTCGTGAAACTGTCTATGAAATTGTTCATCAATATTGTCCTATATGTTATATATAGTTTATCATCATTTGTAATAAAAACGTTTAAAATTTTTTATTACGAAGCTTGAATGATTACAATTCACAGCTCTTTTCAAAGCTGAAGAAAGATCCACACTACTCATATTATCATATTCACTTACATAACTCTTCCAAAGTAGCACCAAGGGATGCTTGGAAAGGAAGTAACCTCTTTCTTTCCGGTTTACATGTAAAGTATTAGTGTGATTAATTGTGTTGGCAGGAGACTTGAACCAAGCTTGGAACTATTTACACACATGACACAGTCAACAGAAATATAAATATATAAGAAGAATGTGTATTTTTATATAATGAAAACTAAGCGTACACAACTGGATAATTGAAATGCAAAGTCTTCCAAGATCCTATTCTAACCAAAACTATATATTTTACACAACAATGTCTAAAATCTTGATCATTGCTCAGATTCCTCGAGATTAGACTTTTCTTCGGGGCGGAGAGTAGCATACTGATCAAGCAAGTCATTATCACAGAAGAACGACGTATTGTAAATCAGAGTGACATCATCTACTTCCATAGGCAAACTCGAAGTATTCATTGCCCTCAACGAATTTGTAAATTCTTGGAACCATTCTCCTCCTTTTTCTTCAATAGGAGCATCAATATAAATTTGTTCATCTTTTTCCGATACTTGACGAGAAGCTTCAAATACTTGATCATTCTTTTCTGATCCTATGAGCGGAATCTCTGGAACATGGCCATTATCTTCATTAACCGGCTGATGCTTTGCGGAGGAATCAGCAAGAGACTCATGATGATAAGGAATAAAAGTTTCATGATTTTCCTTATTATTCTCTTGACTATTCCATATATTATTAGTAGGCTGATGCTCCGAGGTAGGAGCTACATAAGTTCCATGATCAACACTATTGATCGGTTGCTGCTCCGAGGTAGAAGGGTCAATATGGTCGTACATGGTAGAAGCTTCATGAGGATCATCATGACCCTTCTTCTTATTGGAATTCTCGATCACGTGAATCTTGCATATGACCAATTCACGAAACATACCTTCTATTTTCGGAAGCATATATTCTGTCATAATCCAGCTACTCTCGCTACCTGGCACAACAACATCACAAGAAGTACCCTCTCCACTCTTCTGCTTCTTGTGATTTACGTTGCTTTTAACAAAAGCTAAGGTTTGCTTTTCGCCAACGAACATCTTTTTGTCCTTGTCCGGGATACTTTCTTTCGCATTAGCTTTCCAAAACCCACTATCATCGTCTCGGGTGATCTTCCGTTTCGCTTTCTTACCGCAACCGATGCTTTTCTTAGAGAGTTGAGTCCTTGTCACAAAGTAGTACCACTCGTTCTTCTTGAAAAACGTATCCATGGGATGGTCCAGCAACCATGGCTCCTTTGAATAAACATCCTTCGTAGTGATCTCTCTACGCGGTCTACCTTCCAATTTTGGGATTAAATATTCGTCGATGAGTTCGTCGTCGTAGGGTTGAAACTGAATCCCTCCATCTTCGTCATTGTATTCATACATGTCATTGTATCCATACATCTTCTCTTACGTGTCTTATAATGCGTTTGGGTTTAGAAGCTTTTTGTTTTGTGAGATTTGTGATCGACCATCGTCTGTATATATAGTCATCTTACCCTATCATGAACCAATATGAAATTGGTTTTGAAACTCACTTATAGTAGGATTATGATTATTTATCTTTTGTTTACTTTTTAACTTTTTTTTTCCACAAAAAGATAACATGAAATCGTTACTATCTATAGGATAATGTTATCATATCTTGTTTTATTCTGCTGCAACATCATTGTTTGTTTTGGTTTCCTTTTCTTTCATCCTTTTTATTTTATTTTTACCATGAATTTAGTTTTGTGTAAATCGTGATCTCTTCTTAACAAATACGTTTTGAAACAAAAGTCACGTTATTATTCACATCCAAGAAAAACATTCGGTTGTTTTGTTTCCTTTAATTTTTATAATATTATTTAATTTGTGAAAATAGTGATCTCTTCTGAATAAACAAAAGTTTTTTTTATTAAATAAACAAAAGTTTTTTTTTTATTAAATAAACAAAAGTTTACTTAAGTTTTAAAAGCAAAATCAAGTTATTATTATCATGCCTCGGCTTGTGTTATAAATATATAACTATGTAATAATCCGTGCCTTACGCGAAAATGAGATTATTACTTTTGTTACTTTTAAGATAAAATGATATTATATCAGTTTAACATGAATATTGGTTGAGTTTTACATTATTTTTTTAATCTCCTAAAATATAACTATCATTCTAAATTTATATTTATTTTGGTTTGCTTGGTTTAAATGTTTGATGTTTAATTTTTTCAATAATAACCAAAAACTATTATTATTTGTTTGGTTTTGTTTTATATAAATTTTAGACATTTTTGATGTTGAACTAATAGTTTCATGTTATAGTTTCTGAATACATGTAAAATCACATAAAATCTAAATAATATTTGAAAAATAAAATAAAATTATTAACATAAAACATTTCACTACAATTTGAGCGATAGTGAAAGAAAACATTAGAAAAAAAATTCAACTTCAATAAGAATTAAAATTCTCACTTGTGATATGAATATTTAGTTATATAGTCGCTCATGTCAATATGTACATGTATGTATATGTAAAAATATAAATGTGATGATAATATATATATATATATATGAATATACTGTTAATTAAGATTTAAAACATTTTTGTTCAAAATAACACATGATAGTAAATTCTTAAATAAAACTAAGTAAAAATAAAACAAACCTAGAAACTAATAACATTTTTCATATGAAGAAAATCAAATTGTACCCGTAAACAATAAAATAATATATAATATAAAGTGACATCTTCACTTGGTACCTAAATTATGTTTTAATCGATTTTGTGATTTTTTTTTTTTAAAGCTTTTCTGATTTCAGATTTTTTTTCTACCAATTTGATTTGTTTCTAATTCTTGATCTGATATAAAAACTTTACAAAATATTTGACTAAACATTTGACTAAACTAAAGATCCGACTTTACGTGTGGTGTTTTTCACCTCAGCTTCTTCAATTCATAATCAGTCACTTTATTTGTTGTTATTGTGTACCGAAGCCTCAACCATAATCAACTTCGGCAAGATATGAAATTTTCAAATTGCACAAACATTTTCAGCGCAACATTTAAGTTGATGCGAATCTTAATGCTTTTGTAATTTTTTACAATAAATATATTATTCATTAGTTTCACGTAGAAAATTTTAATTTATTAATACAAAAACTAAAAATGTAGGAAAATCTATTAATTTTAAAAATAGAGTATAAACACATTAAATAATGAATTTAAAAAATAGTGTGTGCACGCATTTATTATCAAATTATTGTAAAGCCGACAAATGTCAATTATGTTGTGAACGCATTTATTACAATGTTTCTCATTTAATATATAAGGAATATATTTAATTTGCATAAATAAAAGTTTTTTTCACCAAAATATATACATCTATTTAATAATGACATAATCTATATATAAAGATGATTGTTTTCATGAAATAGTATTTCAAAATTGAGTTATATGTTTCTTGGGTCAACATTAATTGTTATGCATGCATAGATAACCATGTGTTTTGCATGCATAGATACCCATATGTTATGCATGGTTAATAATTGACACAGTTAACTTTTTAAAACAGTACCAGACAATCTCTTTTCAAATTTTGCTCGATGCCAAATTGAATTTGAATACAGTGGTTACCCAGGGGTTAAAGGTGCTTCTGATCAAGGATGATATGTTTCATTAGTTTTTATATGTGTCTCACTAGAGCTTGAAATTTGATAGAAGCTCTTGTGTTTGTAGGCAACTAACGACATAAACTAATAAACTATTGTGATGAATGAATTCGCGAGATCAAGAAGCGATCTTTTGGAAAATCAAAACACACAAGAATGTAGGAATAATGAGAGAAAACTGAAGCAATATAGACATACAAAAAGATAAGGCGCATAAGATTTTATGAGTTACTTGGAAGATGGAGGGATTCTAAAACCGATGTAACTCTAATCCCGCAAGGCTCGTGTTTCAAGATTTAATGTCATAAGCAAAGTGATGTAAAACACAATTATGTTTTGGATTTGATTAGTACAATAAATGTTAGAAACTAAAACTAAAACACAAACTGAAAAAATCTCAAAGTATGACTAACCTTCTATTCAGAGCCAGGATTCAGCTCATTTCACTTGGAATAAACAGAAACCAAGACACTGTTAATTTATTTCACTTGCAATCTTGTATTCTGTTTGAATTTAAATTTCAGATTTGGATTTTGTGTCTTGTATAGAATTGTGTCTCTGTATTGGAGGAAATTGGGAATTTACATTATGACCTCTATTATTGCTTCAAGTTGAAGACTCGAATTTTTGAATTAGAAGCATTCAACATGTACAGTTTTTGGATTTGTTACCATTGAAGCTTATCTCTAAATTTGTAAACAAGTTCTTATAAAAGGGAATATAAAAATATGCTAAAGAAAATGACAAGTACTAGTTTCATAATTTTATAAAATTTGCAAAGCATGCCTAAGTTTGTGGGAGTTTTAAAGACAAATTTCTGTTTTTGTCAATATAGTTTACTCTTCTAATGTAATCATCTACCTGAATAGCCCAATATAATATCTAAATAATGTGTAAATAAATATTTATGGGGACGCAGAAAATAAAATTCTAAAAGGTAATAAGAGCATAAAAATAAAAGAGAAAGAAAAGATTGAAGAGGCGAGTCCAAAAACATTGGTAAAACACAAATGCTTAACAACAGAGTTAATTTTTGGGGACACATCACTCTATCTCCGTTTCTGTTCATGTTTGATGTCCTGCACCTTTGGACACACCCTTTCCCTCTTACTCGACCTTTATATTACTAAAAGTATTACACCCATTACTTTATATTTTTCCTTTTAATCAAATACTATTGTTGGCTTCTTCTTTTTTTGTGTTTAGGTAAAGTGGTAAGCTAGCCAATAATTAATTAATAGAAAAATATCCGTAGTTATTTAAAAAAAAATTATATATATATATATATATATATCCGTAGTTACTTTTTATTGGAAAATTGTTACCTAGTTTCCGTATTATTGGAAAATACTTAATCATACGCAGGCTTATACTTTGCGTTTTAGCAAATGTGTATGAACCAAGTATTACATTCAAACTAGCTACGAGCAGAGCTAAACGGAGTGGAACAAAAATATGGAGAGGAATATTTGTAAAAAGGTCAGGCGTTTCTTGATCAATGCTAAGATTTCTAAAGTCTTTTTTTTTTTTTAACACTAATAGATTTCATTGAAATGAAACATGGTGTTACACAAAGTGATACACATAGCTAGTGAGTAATGAAACTCCTAGAAACTTAAGCCAGCAGTAAATAGAACCTTACTCTAGAAACTAAGACCGACAGAATTAAAGAAATTCTTCGGCAAATACAACAAACACAAAACACCCAAGCCTAGAGTAAGACGAAGAACGATCATAGAACAAGATCATAACAACATGACACCCAAGTAATGAGACAAACCGAGAGAGGAAGGAAGACATAAGCGTACACCCACAAGCGAACTTTATTATGGGAAGACTGCAGCTCTTTATATTGCTCCGGATCACCTCCAGACGTGCCACGAGACTTCGCAGAACTAAACCCCGGAGGTAGAAGAAGACCCAGCTTTTGACATTCAACCTCCACGCCTGGTGCAAAACGAGCCGAAACCCCAAATCCTTGAAGACGAGACGGAAGAAGAACACGGAAGTGGACAGAAGAACACACATCCAAGACTGACCCGTCACAAGCGAAATCAATGATAAGCACATCCTCCCAAACTCAGAAAGTCCACCACAAGAAGCAAAAAATTAACATGCATGCAGATCAAACATCCCGACAAAGCAAGATCAGAGATTACTTTCGTTCAATTAAGATCTGGATCTCAAAACTACGATCATAGGTACTCAAAGCCAAGACAAAGACATGCAAGCTAAAAAACGAAAGAGACGCAAGATCGGACCGACGGCGGCTAAGAGAGCCTTTGCCGTCGGCCGGAGAACCAGAAATTTAAGAAACTTAGAGAGAAGGTAAAGGAAAGATAGAGGAGAGAGATTTTTTCTAAGATTCCTAAAGTCTTTGTTCGCTTTATTTTCTTATGGAGGACACAATATAAAAAAGTCATGCGTTTGTGACTTAGAGCATCTTTAACGCTGGAGAAAAAAAAAAGTTCTTAAAACTATTTTTTATTATTTTTTTTGTCTGACTTTTTTTAAAAAAAAAAAAATTAAAAACCAACCAACTGCGGGCTGTTACGTGTCAGCGGGGCCCGCGAATAGTTGAAAAACCAAACAGAACTGAACTCTTACGGAAGAGGTAAGAGAGACAACTCTTACTTATATGATGTGACCCCTGTGTTTTAAAATAATTTTTTTTTTAAGAGGCAACTATAAGAGTTGCCGTTAAAGATGCTCTTATACCGGTTAACATTTCGATCAAAATTATTTTGTCGTGTTTTGGAATCGCATTTTTATAATTTTATGAGCGGCTTCTCATTCTGACTCCAATAATGATTCTAAATATCTAGTGAAGTTCATATGATTTGGACGAGCAAACTATACAAAATATGTCGAAACATTATTAATATTATTTAATAAAAAACATTTGATACTTGTCGCATCAAAACCCCTATTCTCTTCTCATTGGTCTGTTTCCCAAAAATCTTCAGCTGAATTCTCTATTTATTTGCCAAACTTTGAGCCTAAGTTTTACATCTCTTCATCTTCTTCCTATATTGGAGAGAAAAAATGTTGCCAGGCATACTGTTATGTTCACTTAATCCCAGGAATCACAGGTGATTACTGTATTTGATTAGCATACATATTTTATCATCTTTCTTTGGAATAGTGTACTTGATTAATAAAAGTTTTGTTGTTTTGATTCGGTTCAACTGATATACTTATTTGGCTTTATCGATATATATATTTTTATAGATCATATAGTACAGTTAAAAAAAGTACAGGGATTCTCTGAATGATTTGGATTAAGGCAATATCCATTATGTCATGATGATAATGGAATCATATCCTCGATCAATCAAAAGGGAAACTAACAAATAGTACTAGAATCATTATTACTTAATAATGAATATTCCACTTTTACATTTAATTAAGAGGATAGAAAAACATTAAAAAAATAAATGGAAAGATTAATGACACAAATGATAAAAACGGATGAACTATACTTTATTTGTTATATAAATTTAAAATTCTGTTATATTTTCTTACTATTTTGTTTCTGGTCAAAATTTTCTTACTAATTTAAAATGAATCTTTTGATTAAAAAAGTATATGTATATAAAACTTGGACTAAAAAAACAACAAAAAGTTATTGGGGTTATTAATTAAAAAGAAACATGAAAGCCAAACATGTGGTGGGTGAAGTAAAAAAGTTGTGGAAAGACCCAAAAACTTTTTTTCCCGAGGGCCCAATAGCTTTTTACGAGTCAAACACCCGAAAAGGTATTTCGGTAATTACGTTTTGCCTCTTTCTTCTCTCCCTCCACTGATACTGAGAGTGTGATTAGAATAAACCAGAAAATCTCCGGTTATCTCAGTCATTGCCGGTAAAAATAAATAATCCGGTGGATTTAACCGTCGGAGTCGGTTTAATTAACTGTGCAGCAAGAAGAAGAAGAGTGATAGAGAGAGCTTAGATACTGATCCCAAGGACATTGACTACTGGTACTCTGTTCAGTTCAACCGAGATCCTCCTCCCAGATTCACTCTACGATCGGAGAACAACGACAACAACAATCACCGTTCTCGCAGGTATGCTTCCGTCACCGGCGAATCTCCGTAACGTTAAATTCATTGTTTGATTTTTTCTTTTTTTTTTTGATTTTTTGCAGTGGTGAATTCTGCAAGACGAAGAAGCGAGGAGAAATGTCGAACAAGGTCTCAAACTTCTCGGATCTGATTCAGCGAATGACCGCTTCGTGTTTGCTCCATCCACTCTCCGCCGGCCGGCAAGATCTCGCCGCCAACCGCCGTGGAGAGTACGATTCCGAGGACGAGATTCAGTACGAAGACGCATCGGAGAACGAGAATGGTGAAGAAGAAGGAGACGAGACGGTTAGGGGTAAGATCAAGAACGTTTCGGTTAGTGTGGAGACAGTTCAGGAGATGGAGATGGTGATGGAGCAAGTGTTCACTGCCGCTGCAGCTTTAAAAAGAGCTTACGTGGCGCTTCAGGACGCCCACTCACCCTGGGATCCTGAGAAGATGCACGAAGCTGACGTGGCGATGGTTGCCGAGCTGAGGAGGATCGGTACTCTTAGAGAGAGGTTCAGGAGGATGAGAGGCACCGGTGGCCGGAGGAAGACCGACGGCGGGAGAGGGATGCTGAGAGAGGCGGTTGCGCCGTACGAAGCCGTTGTGAAGGAGCTGAAGAAAGAAGCTAAGGTGAAAGACAATGAGATTGAGAATCTCAAGGAGAAAGTCAAAGCAATGGTCAACGTTAATAACGGTAACGGTAACAGCATCAAGAAGCATCACCGTCTGCTCTCTAGCCGGAAAGTTAACTGCACAACGCAAGTTGCTGTCTCCCCCGTTCCGGAGTTGTTCGAGATGACGATGATTCAGGTCAAAGAAGCTTCGAAGTCATTCACGGGAGTTCTGCTCTCTCTAATGCGAGCTGCGCGTTGGGACATTGCAGCTGCTGTTAGGTCCATTGAAGCTGCTTCGGCTGCATCAGACGGTGGCAGCGGCATGTCTACTGCCTCTTCTGCTTTAGCTTCTTCATCTGTTCCTAACGGTCACGCGAAGTTCGCTCTCGAGTCTTACATTTGCCGAAAAATCTTCCAAGGGTTTGATCACGAGACGTTTTATATGGATGGGAGCTTGTCTTCTCTTATCAACCCTGATCAGTACCGTCGTGACTGCTTTGCGCAGTTCAAAGACATGAAGGCTATGGAGCCCATGGAGTTGCTTGGGATCTTGCCCACTTGCCATTTTGGGAAGTTCTGTTCTAAGAAGTATCTTTCGATCATTCACCATAAGATGGAGGAGTCTTTGTTTGGAGACTCGGAGCAGAGGGAGATGGTTTTAGCGGGTAGCCATCCGAGAAGTCAGTTCTATGGAGAGTTTTTGGGGTTAGCTAAAGCGGTGTGGCTGCTTCATCTCTTGGCGTTTTCGCTTGATCCATCTCCGAGTCACTTTGAAGCAAACAGAGGAGCTGAGTTTCATTCTCAGTACATGGAGAGTGTGGTGAGGTTTCCGGATGGTCGTGTTCCTGCGGGTCAGGTCGTAGGGTTTCCTGTTTGTCCAGGATTCAAGCTTAGCCATCAAGGGAAAGGGTCTATCATCAAATCCAGAGTTTACTTGGTTCCAAGGGCTTAAAACGGTTTCATTGAGTTCACTCTTTTGTAGTAATGTCATGTTGGTGTGTTGTTAAGACAAATCTTGCTTTTGTAATAAAAGAGTTAATGGATAAGAATGTTTCAATATTAATCTAAATGACGAAAGATGTTCACGTAGACAGAAGTGTATATATATGCTCTAACAATTCGAGGTCTTAATAACGAATAATGTAATAAGGTATGTTTTTGTAGCGAGGGAATCAATCTAATAATACTTCTCTTAGAAACACTTTCTTCACCTGTCACATAACAGAGATAACAAGATTAGAGAGATGAAGAGTACTGATCATCAGAAAGTAAAAGAGAATAGGAGAAGAATTCTAATTTACTTGTTCTAGTGTGAGGAACATAACAACGTTCCAAGTTCCTAGCCGTGTAAAATTCGGGAGGAATCCTTTGTAGAAAGCCATAATCCCCTGTAAAAATTACCAAAACAGAGCACATATGATCGGTATCAAAAACAGAAAGTGTGTAAAAAAGAAAGATATCAAACCAACCTCAGTCTTCATGGTTTTGATGAAGCAATCGATTGTGTTACGGTAAGTAGAGTCTCCCATCATTCTAGATTTCACCTGTGATCAACATGTATAAGTAAACATGGCGGCCATCTCAAGTAGAGAAATATACCAAACACATCATTTTTCTTTTTCCTCTACAATCTAATCTCTCCTTCGGTAGATAATTGTTGTCTAATCATTATGATGCAATTTGCCAAAGCAAAACTGCCAAGCAAGAGGTCAGAGACACAAATGTGGAAGAAAGACATACACATGTGAGATGCCTGTTTTAATGTCACTTTCGAGGTAGTGCTATGTCTACTCTCATGCATGTTACAAAGGAGAGGTATACGAGTTCTGCAATCAGTTTCAATCTTTACCAACTTAATGAATCATTAGTAGTCTCTTGTGTTTGTTCTTTTTTTTTTAAAAAAAAAGTAGTTGATTTAGGCATTTAGCGCTTTTGTTTCAGATCTATCAATTCACTCTTAAAGTGAATTAACATATACTTGCTACTGAAAATGATGAGACACGAAGCTAAATGATCTTTTGTATTCTTGTTCTTGTTTTATGTAGAAAACGAATGCTTACCACATCAACTGGAGAACCAATACAAACAGCAAAGAACCCAGCAGCTAAACCAGCTAGCAGATGGGTTAGAACACTGTCTCCAAACCCTGGAATTTTCATAATTGTCTGCATGTGTATAAAAAGTATTAAAACAAACAAATGACTAACCAACACACAACTAGAATCCAAACAGATTTTTATAAACAGTAATAAAAACATTTTTTTTTAACGAGTTAAGAAAATATCACACCTCTTTGATTTGATCATAACTAGCCAGCTCTGCAGCATTTACAATAGCGTTCCTTGCAATATTAGGCCCAAGCCCTGTCCACAACGCACTAACTCCCTCCTGTTTTTTTTTTAATAATTGAAAAGGCTATAACTCTCTATTAATTTTGACATATTGATTCGAAGATTAGTTAACTAACCATCTTCACTATGGTGAAATAAGCGTCTACAGCTCCTGCGTAACGCCTAGGAACCCCAACTGGTAATTTTCCTTCTGACTGTAGCCGAACTTTGACAAGATCAGTTGGATTAGCTACAATGATAGCTATAGCTCCTGTTGTCACCAAAAGGAAAAGATTCATTTTATTTATGTCAACCTTTTACTCATATTACATCCGGGGTCGGATCTGAGCATAGGCTAGTAAAGCATTGATCTATGGCCCCCAAAATTTAGAAGAAAATTACTTATATATACCCCCAAAATTTATATTAATTTTTTAATATATATTAACTCTTACTAAATTTTCAATAGCTTCCAAAACGCCCTGATACATCCAAGAGACTTGATCAAGAACAAGAACTGAACTCACCGGTTAACAAAGCTGCAAGAATCTTCTGATATAGTGGAATATCCCCAATAAAGTCACTCCCAACCAAAAGTGTCTTGACCTGGCCAGATCGAAATTGTGATCAATAAGTGAGTACATAAAGAAAAGCAGCAGAGAAGTGTGAGGACTTACAGGCTCATATAAACCAATCCTTAAGCCACCATAGATACATTGTCGATGCAGTCCTGCAATAACGCCTTTCCAAAGTCCTGAGATACCTTCTTCTCTTGCTATGGTAGTAAGAGTACCCAAGGAGCCTCTGTACTTGGGCAAATTATCACCATCTCCAGTAGGGATCTTTCTTTGTAGCTGAAGCCTTACTTTAGCTGTGTCTAATGGTACCGTACATAACTGCAACAATCATTTAATCAATGCTGACTCAAAAAAAGATATAACAGATTTAAAAAAACAGTAAAGCTGAAAAAATACATAAAAGTCATATCTTTTGAAACAAAAACGTTGAAATGTAAGTAAGCTACCTAAACCCACCTAGGATGGTCTAATCTACAACTTAAAGTCTCTAACTTTCTATGGCCTTTTTCATTATCAAGTGACAGTAAATAAACAAAGACTCAGGCTTTCACAATCTGTGTTGAATCAAATCCAATGAGAAAGCAAAAGAGAGAATGATGATAGATACCTCTGCGAAACAAGCTGCGAAAGCGCTGCAAATGAAAGTTTCAAGAAACGAAATCTCCATTTCTGTTGCTGATGTGTCAAGATGAGAGAAATCTCGGAAGCACCGACTAAGGGAAAAATGAAGAAAGGAGCTAACTTTTCTCCTCTAATGGTGATTCTTGAAGATGGGTTTGAATCAAATATGATTTAATTAGAGTGGAAATGAAGAAAAGCTTTTTTTCCAGATCAAGAGACTTTGCAATGGCGTCACGAATTGAGGAAACAAAAGGTACAGAGACTCAATCCATCGTGCGATTTACTATTTTCCCACATTGTTTGTTTTTTACTATTTTTTTTTTTTAATTTTTAAGGTTTTTAATAATGTCATTTCTAATCAGCATTAAACACGTCGTTAGCCAATGATTAGAATATGTATGGAAGTAGAGACCCTCCTTATGCAGTGGAAGGTTTACTTGGTACGTGATGCCAGTGCCTTTGTCGGTTTGTTGTCCCCTTTGAAACTTGAAACCAAGTTGACATCAGCTGCAGGTCTCATGATGTCATAGCTTCCAAGAACCGATTGATCAAAAATCAGAGAATACATCTTTGATCTTCGACTGAAATATCAAGAACAAAGTGAAGTGCATAGGCATACACTACGTCGTCATGAATCCTTGAGATATCTCAACGTAAACACACAGACACACGCAAATTTCATGAATCTCAATTATTAAGGTCATTCGTTTTTTTTTTTTTTTTTTTTTTTTGCATTTGGTGCAACATCTGAATACTTCCCAACATTGTTTATTGTTTATAGTTAGTATTTATAGTATATCTAGATATAATATAAGTTTTTCGTTTTTCCTTTTATATTAACATTTAAATAATATTAACGACTAAAAATATGATTCACATTATTAATAATGAACAAGTTATAATATTAATTATAACATTCATATGAATATTTATAAGGGGTGATTTGCTCAATATACATAAGAAATGAAAAAAACTAAGAATATAGCCATACTACAGGGGATGTGACAATTTGCACACAAACCTGACCGAATTCTTCTTTTAGCGCGTGCGCGTGAAGTTGACGCTCAGAAACTAAAATTATCATACTATACTACATATCGTATAGTATAGTAAGATCATTTGTATTTACTTGTTACAAAGTTAGATTTTAGAGTATACTATATATGATTAGAACAGAGTATGATATATTTAAGAAGGAGAGAGGGAGGGAGGGAGGGAGAGAAGAGAAGAAGAAAAATTGTAAAAATGATATATAACTTTTAGATTTCAGACTATACTATACATAATTAGAACATAGTATGAAATACTTGAGAAGGAGGGAGGGAGGAAGGGAGGAAGAGAGGGAAGAAGGATGGGACAGGGAGAGAGAGGGGGTAAGTGAGAGGAAAGAGAGGAGGAAATACTTGATTAGAACATAGTATGGAATACTTGAGAGGGAGGGAGGGAGGGAGGGAGGGAGGGAGAGAGGGAGCTAGGGAGAGAGGGAGGGAGGAAGGAAGAGGGGGG